TTTTTTTTAATTTGGACCATTTCTCGATTTATGCGTGTCATCCTTGCGCAGGGGCCATGCTAATCTTCTCTGTATCGTTCCAATTTTAACGGATGTCCCGAAGGACAGCAATAATCTTGATTGGTCTGATACGTTTGAATTTTTCCCAATGGATTCGTGTAATTTTGTCTGCTTCTTGACCCACGAGGTTCCGCCATCTGTTCTGGATGATTGGATCTGGATTTTTGTCTTCAGATACAGTCTGTACCCAAGTTTTACTGAGTAATCCTGGATTGGGATTTTTGACTTGAAGTTGCTGGTGGTATTTGGCTTCCAGGCCCACTCCGCTGGGTCGAACTCCAAGGATCGGATGGCAGTGTCCGGTCTGAAAATTGCCTTTGGCCATGTACGTAGGACCCTTACTTTTCTGAGGAGGAAGGAATCCAGTATAGATGTTTCTACATTGCAGTTGGAAATAGCTGGCATGTCCGTATTGGTGAAGGAGACCGGGAAGGAGAGGAAAATGGCTCTGGTGGGTGAGCCTTGCTGCATGTGAGAGAATTGATAGGCTCTAGTAGGGGATGTGTCTTGAATCATAAGACCCCATTCACCCGGTCTCCACGACTCATCTTTTACCAGGATATCTTTCCACTCCTGAGGAATACGACTGAGTATGTATTGAAGATTGGTCTCTCGTCTGTGGCATCCTTTCAGTCGGGCACTAGCTTCTTGTTCTGCTATCCAGTCTTTTCTGTCCTCCATCCACAAGGGGTCTACTTTCCAGATACCGTTCTTGATCCAAGATAGCCACCTCTGTTCTAGGAAAAGTGGGTTGTTGGCCTCGTTTGTTAGCCATTCATTCCCAAAGAGCGGTTGTCTTAGTACTTCATCTTTAGATTTAGGTTTGTTTACCTTGTTGGGGATTATTTTCCTCCACAATCGAAGCAGTGCCGGCCAGTAGGGGTAGGCGGCCGATGGTCTTCGGGTCTGTTATTCCTCGTCCGATTCCTCCGTCCTATAGATATCACCCATTCTTTGTTCATTACCCAAAACAGGCCTGACATATCGTTTGGGGAGGGAACTGGTGCTACCGATCTGATACTATCCAGTGCCAACTTATTCCAGGCGCTGTCCGGATTCATCAGCAGTTTGATGATCCGTTTAATTTGCAGAGCTTTTGTTTCTATTCCGGGGTCAATAATTCCTAGGCCCCCATCTCGTGGCCTCCTTGTGACATAGTGCCAGGCTATCTTAGATATGCCCTTGTCTTTGTTGGGGTCTCCTGTCCATAGGTAAATCCTGGCTCGTCTGTTCAGCTCCTTAGTCGAGCTGTCGGGAACTGTCCAAATAGAAGCAATATACCACATCATTGAGAAAACCGACGTATTGAGGACCAGCGCTCGGCCGATAAGGGAAGTGAAGGCGTTGCCCCACCTTCCGATTTTGTTAATCTGTTTGGCCAGCATAGATGGGCCCATTTGGGGCGCCAGTCCTCCTTTCGTCATCAGGATACCTAGATAACGTGTGGGTGTATCCAGTGTTTGCCATGTCATAGCCACCTCACATCCTTGGAGAGAAAGGGGTTCGTCCTCGGAGAGCCACCAGCCAATTGTTTTCCCCAGCAAGCGCACAGCAATCACAGTGTGTTTTTGTGTGTTTTATTTATTATTCATGTAATTTTCATCAAGTTAATTGCAGATTTGTCGTATCTAGAGTCTTTCTGCTGTGCTCTTTGTTTTTCTCTCTTTTTCAGTTTCTTTTTGTTCAAACCTTCTGCACCAATGAATATGATTTTACTCGACATTGAGAATTTATAGACGCTAACGCGCCTGAGGGTCGCATTTCTTCAATGCGGACACAATAACGATCATAACAATCTCCTCGTGTACCTACGGGTACATCAAATTCTACTTTGTCATAAACATCGTAGGGTGCTGCTTTTCGCAAATCCCAGGAAACCCCTGAACCTCTTAACATTACACCAGGAATAGCAGCACGCGCTACATTCTCAGCAGCTTTTACTTCTCGCCTATTCAAGTGATGGTCTTTCACTTTGTATGATAACTTTTTTCAAGAGGGGTTTCCCGCTTATATGCTTTCAGCGGTTCTCCCACCATCGAATGGACTCTTGGTGGAACGGACCACTTCGTGTTTGCAACAGAACAGAAGGCAGATGGGCGACTTGTTTTCCACATTGATTTGATTCATTAGTGGATATAAGATGACACCAAAACAAACAAAACAAATACATATTTGATGATTATTAAAACAAACAACAACTCATGAGTTCTCAAGAGGCTCTGCTGTCAGAGTTCTTGAAACAACATGAATTACGTCCGAACCAACCAACCGGATTGGAATCGAAAATCTTTACTGGCCAACATTGCTTTGCACGGAATGGAGAATGCTTTGAATGAGTGGGCTCAGCAACAGGCGGCCGAGAAATTGGAGCTATTTGGCCTCCAAAAGGTATCAGCAGAGTTTCAAGCTTCGGCCGGCACTTCCAGAAATCCGGTTGTGGAGAGGCCGCACCCTCTGCCATCGATTCGTGAATTTTTCATGTTTTTACCTTTTGTAATTGGAGTTGTTTGGATGGGTGTTTATCCTGAGGTATTCCGCCGAAGGCGCCCATATCTATTAACTGAGTTAACTCCAATTGATCATCATTTATGAAGCTAACCTGAATGCTTCCATTGCTTTGGCTAGTGTTCTGAAGGAAGAATCTGATGCTCTGATCAGAACCGTTAAATCATCGGCGAACATGATAGCTGCGGGGAAATCCATCTGGTGGGCCGAACCTATATCGGTGCGGGCAAGTCTCTGAATTGATGGATCCTTGCGCAGGAAGGATGCGATTGCCTCCATTACGAATAGGAAGATTGACGGAGCTAGTGGGTCCCCTTGGCGGACCGAGCGGGATATCGGGTAGCAATCTGACAAAAGTCCATTAACTTGGACACAACCAACTGCATCCTTGTAGAGTATCCTGACCCATTTTCTGAAGTTCGGTCCGACTCCCATTCTTTCCATGCTTGCTTCCATAAAGTCCCAGTTGACTTGATCGTATGCTTTCTAAAAATCAAAGAAGAGAATGGCGGCATTTATTTTCCTTTCTCTGATTTTTCTTACTGACTCGTTCAATGTCATAACATTATCCAGGATATAACGACCCGGGATGAATCCTGTTTGGTCAATGTGGAAGCATTTGTTGGTGATCTTAATGATCCGGTTAGACAGGGTCTTAGCCAGGATCTTGTATGGGAGGGTTAACAATGATATGGGCCTGTAATTTCTGATGTCGTCTTTTTCGCCCTTGTTGTAAAGTAGTGTGATCACGCTGCTGCTGAGGAGATTACCCAGCCCCCCGATGGACCAACTGTCATTATAGAAGTTTAGCAAGTCACTTCCTAGCAAGGGCCAAAATTTTTCCCAGAACTCTTTTGTTAACCCGTCAATTCCTGGGGGCTTGTTGTTGTTCATGCTTTGTAGAGCCCGAAGTATTTCTTCTGATGTGATTGGTTTGTCGAGAGCTTCAGCCTGGTCGGCTGATATTGTTCGCTCTAGGTAGTGTAGCATTTTTTGCCTTGCCTCTCTGACGTTGATGGGTATCGGTGCCCCAGTCTTAGACTGGTATAGATCCTTGTAGAAATTGTTGGCTATCTCCCGAATCCCTTCACTATCTCATTTCACGGTTTCGGGAGTTGCGTGTGACCTCAGGCCTTCTATCGTGCCATCTCTTGGAATTGGCTTTGATTCGGGCAAAAAAGTGTTTAGTCATTGAGTCACTGAGTTCGTACTCACACATTCTTGCTCTTATTTAAAGGCCTTTCAGATCCCACCATTTCCACATGGCCAATTCCTCTCGGGCCTTGTCGAAAATCTCGATATATAGTTGAGAGGCGGGGTTGTTTGTCAGGTTAGATTCCGCTAATTTTAGTGCAAATTCTAATGATTGTTTTCTTTGTTTCCTTATCGACGCTAGCTTCCTAGAAACCTTGGCCACGGTGTCCGAAAGGATCGAGTAGCTCTTCTGAAACCATTCCCATCGAGGAACAATGCTTAGGCGTACCGACCTCAACCCTTGCCAGCAGTCGCAAACTTCACTTTGGAAAGTTTGGCTCAGCAGGAGGGAGTTGTTCAGTTTGTGGAAGTTGCCTCCCTTTGTAACCACTTGGTCAAAGCATATGAACAGTTCAGTTGGTTTGTGATCCAGCCCAGAATATGAAGCCAACGGTAACACTTCAGCTTCCTTGACTGCCCCCATCATGACTTCGGACACTAGAAAGTAGTCTATTCGTGAAAAAGCCATATGGTTAGCGTGGTTTTTCTTGACTAAGGTGAAGGTTCTCTTGTTGGGGTGTAGGATTTTATGGGGATCTACCAGGTTGTGGTTCAGCATCATTTCCTGGATTGGTGTTGCTTCTGATAAGTTTGGGGTACTGGAGGATCGAGAAATACGATCCACTGATGGGTCTATTGTAGCATTCCAATCTCCTGCCAGAATACATGGGGTAAGTGGCGAAATCAGGTCTCCGATTTGTCTTAGGAAGGACGTTCTTTCAGTTGGCGAGTTTGGGGCATAAATATTGAAGAGTAGGAGTTCCTCTTCCTTCCATTTCAGATGTAACATACACCACCTTCCCTCTGTCTGATCGGTTTTCTTATCAACGACCGAGCCTGCTCCATATAGGCGGGAGGATTTGGGAATCAAGATGGTCGTTCCCTTAGTGCTTGTTTCAGGGTCAACCGACCAAATTTCGTCCTTCAGGCCGCCTAGTTTTCTTGCCATAAATGAGCGAACTCTGTTGTGTGTTGTTGAGAAGGTGAGGTGTGTTTCCTGCAGTAGCACTATATCTGCTAGCTTCCTATCACTCATCGATATCCCGGATAGTTCCACTTTTCTTCTCTTTCTACTATGTTCCCTAATCCGTTGACATTCCAGCTTCTGAGGACTAATCCTTGGTTCTTCCAATTCGTGTGGTCTCTTACCTCATTCGCTCTCCTGTAGCTCTCCATAGCAGCAGCTGGGTCAGATTAGAGAGAATCTTGATCCCGGACCGTCTAGGTAGGGGAAGCGGAGAGGTGCCCATGCTTGCCCCTTCCCCAGTTGTCGCCTAAGACGACCCTAATCCGTTGTCCTTTGATGGGGAGAATGCAGAATCTCCTGCCTTGTCTGAACTCTCTGGGTCAATCTGGCCATTCTCTTCCTTACCTAGGTCAGTGTCCCGACTCAGGATCTCACCTTCATCGTCCCCTTCCCACACGGAACAGTCAGAGGCGTCACTTCTGTAGAACCTGTCACAATCCAGGGCGAATGCTCTTGCATCTAGATCCCGGTCCCCTTCCAGCTGCCCTGATTTGACAATTTGAGCCACAATTGTGGCCATCAATTTTGCCGACACACCAATGCCAGCTAGGATGCTGTAAGGGACTTCGGACACTGTTCGCCACGGTTTCCAGATCATCCCTGTTCTCAGCTTTGTTGATTCTGACGTCTTGGCTATCAGGGGTGAGAAGGCCCTTGGGGAGTTTCTGGTCATCTTGCCCTCACCACATTTGACGCTTCCTGTTTCCTCCTGTGTGTTGGAGTCAATCAGATCTGATTCCAAGGCTACTGTCTCAAAGAGCCCCAGTGGGGATTCCAGTGTTACATGTTCTTTGAGCACCTTCACCACGTTTTCCCCCTCAACAAAGTAGGGGATTTTGAAGGCTATGTCCGTTGCGATCTGCCACTCCCTCGCGTTTGACACGTACCTGGCTGCAATGAGAGGTCGGATGTTCCTCAGTGTTCTGCGAGCCGCTTTGGCCGATTCTGATACCATTGGGGCCCTTCCGCTAGCAATCTGCGAAATGGTAGTAAATTCAGGTGCATACTATTTGGTCCACTTCCTCAATTTTTCAATCTGGGACAGAACTACGGCCGCTTCTTTCTCTAAGAGGTCTCGTTCCGATTTCTCTTCTGCCTCGGTTTGGTCATTGTTAGTTTCCTTCCGTTTCTGGTTCTTACCCAATTTCCTTGCCTTGGGCCGTAAGCCTTGGAATTTGTCCTTTGTTGTGGGGATGGTCTTGTCCCTGTCCTATGTTCCTCGTTCCCTTGCCCTTTTCTTCTCAACATATCTGAAAGCCGCATATTCAAAGAATTCTTCTGATTTGACTTTCTTGAGGATTTCGTACTGGTTAGAGGAGCTATTGCTTCCCGCTGATGCATCTCTTTTTCCATTTGCCCGGGACCTCTCTGCATGTTTCAAGCAGGCTGCACGGATATCAAATGCATGTTCTCTTTCCCTTTTTGCCCACTCCACATAGTCTCTGAGCCAAGTCAAGGACTGCGTGGAACCATCCTCCTCTTCCGTGGAGGCAACGTCTGGGGTTGTGTCCTTCCCCTCAGATTCCTTGTCTGCCTGACCTCCCATCAGATCCATGTCCATTCCTTCCCCTTCAGCCCCAGTTTCTGACATTCCCGTTTCCTTTCCTCCTGCTGATTCCTCTGCCCTCCTTCTCTTTGGGCCGGATTCTTTCTCAGACGATCCACCATCGCCTTGTAGTTGGCGTTTGTTGTCGGCTTGTGATTTGTTCCTTCTCTTGTATGTTTGTTGTACGACTTGTTTCAGTATTTCTCTGAACGAGTCTGGTTCCTTATTGTTCTCCTGTTCGATCTGCTCCCTTATTGTGTCAAGATCCCACAGCAAATCTTCCCTTGCTTTTTCCTCCTTAATCACCCGTGAATCTGTAATGGGGCTGGTGTTGATCTTCGTCGGGTTGCCTTTAACTTTCCCCGTTGCTTTCTTTTGCCGTCTGCTATCTGTCGGGGGGAAAATGTCCGGCTTTTTGGTGGGAGGCGATTGGTCTGCGAAGTGCCAGACCCAGTCAGGTTCATCAAGGTTGCCGCCGAAGACCCATCCATCATAACACGAATCAGCCACATACCAGATACCAGGTGCATCTTCCACTTCTACCAGCATGTTCGGTAGAAGTTTTCTTTCTTTAGCTTGCTTCGGGAACTTAGGACAACTCGGGTTAGTGCCCAAGTGGCCTCGTTCTCTGCATCGAAAGCAGATCGGTGAGGCTCTTGTAGAAATCTTTACTTCAATCACCCTGTTTTCAATCTAGAATTTCCAGACCTGCGGGAAAACAGGGGGATCGTCCATCTGCACGTCCAAAATTGTTGTCAAAGTGCCACAGTGAGGCGCCAGAAAGTCTGGCGTTGGTAGAATCCATTTCAGGACTTTGTTCGCTGTGTATTGTCTTTCGAGCCTGTCCACCAGTAATCCGTGGAAGCCTGGTTGTATGTTGTCAAATTGAACCCAGAAGTTCTCCTTCATTAAAGTTTGTTTGTAGGAGACTGCGGATCCTGGGGTCTGTCTCTGGGCTGAGAGTTTTTTCCACCTTGTGATTGTGCAAACTGAGTCGTGGCAGTTTCTGGATTGCATTTCTGCTGCAATCCTCGCGTGGTCCTCGTGGATGAATAGTACAATGATATTGTTCCGGCCCAGGTTCTGCAGCAAGAAAGTGTCACCAATCTTTTTGCATCTTGGTTCCTTTCGAATCGTTTCAATTACCCACTTTCTTTTTTCAGCTGGCTGGACATCTGCCCCGTGGCGTGCAAAGTTAAACACCACACCGTGATTTTCATGCAGCTCATCCAGCTCGGCGATCTTCTCTTTCGGGTATTTCCGTATAACCACTTCTTCTTCTTTTCCTTCCACTATCTGTTTTTCAGTGGATTCGATTCCTTGGACTTTCGTCTTTTCGATTAGGAATTTGAGAGCTTCATTGTCAATAACGTTGACAAACTTCTCCGATGATTCCTGATCGATTGGAATCGTGGCATGCGTTTGATTTGCCATCTTTTCTCCTTTTAAAAGATCGAACCTGTCCCCTTCGATTCTTGCTACGCCGTCTGTTAATCCCTCTGTCTCTTATACACATCTAGATGTGTATAAGAGACAGACTCAGGAGTGAGGATGGATCAGGAGAGAGGAGGGGGGGAGGAGGACAAGGGGGACGGGAATGTCAGTAGAGGTATGGATCGAAACGCTTGCTGTGGGTGGGGGTGTCGGTCTAAGATTAGGTGGGGGGTGCTATTAATGAAGGAAGAAAGACTCGACTAAATGGGTAAGTGACTAGCCAGAGGGTCAGATGGTTGAGTGTGCCGCGGAAAAAGGGATCGACGAGTAAGTGGAAGGATCGACGGATATCAGGAGAGCGAAGTACGAAAGAGGGGCGGTTCGACAAGCGATTGGTTGGGCAGCGCGGTGGTGGAAGATGTGGGTGGTGGGAGATGAGGGGGGAATGGATGTTAATCAAGTTAGTGATAGGATCGGATAGGGATCGGGCGAGGATTAGGTGCGGTCGGAATGGGATTACGATGAGATCGGGATGCGGTCGAGGTGTGGCCGACGCAGGGACGAGTTAGGTGTAACTCAGGAGTGAGGATGGATCCGGGTTGAGAACGGGATGAAGGTAGTGAGAGATGGATGGGGTCGAGATAGGCCCAAGAAGGGAATGGGGTAGGATCAGGTGGGGAGCGGGGTGGGGACGGGGTGGCGTCGTGGCCGGGTTGGGGTGGGAGTAATTCGTAATGGGATCGGGATTGAGACTGAGAAGGGTTTGGGAAGCGGATGGGGCCGGGGTAGTTCAAGAAACGATCGGTGTAGTATCGTGTTGGTGACGCGGTGGGGCCAAGGTGGTGGCGAATTGGGGTCGGGGGGGATCGAGAGGGGGGATCGAGCTCAGAAATAAGGAGAGGATGGAGTCGCTGAGGGGATCAAACTGGGGGGGATCAGGATGGGGTCGGAGTGAGGTCGAAGAGGAGTAGAGAAGAGGAGTAGAGGTAGGTGTAGGTCAGCGGTGGGATGGGCTTGGGATTGATATCGGACTGGGAGGGATGAGGGATTGGGTATGGGTCGGGATAGAGTAGAGATGGTGGGGTCGGGGTGGGAACGGGCCGGGGTCGTGGTAATTACTGTGTCGGGGTAAGACGAGACTGGATTGGGATCGGGGTTACGATTGGGGAAACGAGGATGAGGGAAGTGGGTGGGGCCGGGATAGGATCGAGAAAGGCGTAGGGTCGGATTGCGAGGGTGGGGCCGGGCAAGGTCAAGGTCGGCGCGCTCGAACTC